CGATAGCAAATTTTTACCGATAACTACTGTGCTTGTTTACGATATTATTTACCTATTGTAATTGCCAAGCAGTGATAAACCAAAGAGTAGGACAACCACTGTTAGAACTATATTAACCCTGCTCGTATGCCATTGGTCAGCAAAGATAATGTAACGATGACGTAGGTACACTTCTGCACAGCCGACTGTATATTATATGTATGTTATAGAGTTGGCTGTGCACTTCTGGTTATGACGTACAACACACTTCCGGGTTCCGATTTGCAGAATTGTAGCTCGTTCAGAAACATATCATGCACAGAAACATTATCATACAACCACAACTTTTATCCAGCTTTCGGATTATTTATTAAAGAATTTAAAATTCCAGTATGTGTTGTATGGAAAATTTCAAACAGACAATTTGTTTTTTTTTTGATATTCAGTATGAAATAATAAGTATATTGGATTTTAAATTGTTTCATAATATACGTATATTTACGATTCTGGAAAACATTATATATATATGTGTGTGTGTGCATATTTCTGCATGCATTTGTGAATGTCAAAATTTGAAGAAATGAGAATAATGTGTATTGTATATTATGAAGTTACATCTAAAAGAATTGGCCTCAGATTTTGTATTCATTTTATATGAATGAAAATCTATGTGTAAATTAAATTTGTTTCTTATAATGAAGAAACGGAATGCATTTATTTTGCTATGTTTCCAGATTAATTAAAAAGTAACATGTTTTCATCTTAAAATTATATAATATAAACAATTATATGTAAATAATGAGAAAACTTATCTGAGAAGCATAACTTTCTGTTGAATGTCAATCCTTTGAGTAAATCTGAAACATAAATTTTTGAAGCTTTCGAATTTCTGGGTAATTTTTTTATATGAGAGAGCAAAAACATAGTTTTTTGTATGCTTGCTTGAAATAAGTGAAAATATTTAGTTATGATTTAATTTTGAATGCAATTCACACTGCGGTTAAAAATTTGGTATAATTTTCCATGTTAACCGGTGTAGAACTATTTGATTTTGCAGTACTTAATGCTATTAAACTGCGCATAATGTTATGTAACAAAAGTATAGTATTGTAAAAAATGTTACTATTAGCAAGCAAAAATTAATATTATTTTAGAAAGTATCCTTAGATGCACCCCTGTCGTCTAAGTGTAAAAGATTAGTACTCAGTTCTTCAGTATTTTTTGTTACTAATGCTTATAGGAAGAGAAAAATATATTTTTTCTTATATACTATCGGAAAAAAGAAAGCACGCTGATCGAAGATAATCTTGGCTGACCGCCCCTGGCTGTGACGTCATCAAACATTAGCCATGGACCTTATAAGAAATAGACTAACCCAATTGCGTTTTTTTCCTTGTCTGGCGCGTTCCCGACTGTCACCTTGATCACATCCGGAGGAGTAGGGACGACTTCCAGAAATTAGCAATGGTTGGCTATTGCAGCGCGTACAATTGTCACGAAAAAGCTGGTGGTAGTGCCTCATTTCACAAGTAAGAATTTTTAAATATTTTTTTTTTGACACTGAGATTGCTTTTTAAATACTTAGCATGTTTTTCAAGCATAATTAACGTTCTAAATAATTATAAAGCTGTTGCATGCTTTCAGGCTTGTATATATTTTTAGCTTTTCCTATGATGTAAGCAAATTTGTAACTTCTTCTTTTAGAAAATAATATTTTTAATCTGAATTAACAGAAAAATTCAACTAAGTAATTTTCTCTTACAATTACTAAAACTATAACTAATACTAAACTATAACTAAATACTAAAATGCCTAAAAATGAATTTTTGAAAGTTTTTCTTTAAAATTTATAATTTTTTGCTGCTTTTTTAAATTATAGGTAAATTTTAATTCCTAGCATTATAACTAATCAAAAATAAGAATATTTAAGAACGAAAAGTATAGCGCTAATTACCTGGTTTGTTTCTCTTTTTATTATAAATTTTAAATACAACTCTCTTATTCTAATAGTTTTGTTTTCATTTTAATTAATTCTAATTTTAAACTCGCTCTCTAAATATTTAGTTTAATTAATTTAAATAGTTTAATACAATAGTTCATTTTTTATTAATTAATTTAGTGAATTAATTAGCAATAACATTTAAATTCCCAGTTTTTTAAAATTTTCCTGTCCAAAAATTGAGTTAAGAATTTTTACTTTAAAAATTCACTGAGGTTAGCTCCCTCTTTACTTTTATAATGGCTCGTATCAATCACATAAATTTCCATTGGTTTTGCACTTGATTTGCTTATGCTTCTGAATTTAAATGATATTGTAGATTAGTTCGAGAATTAAATTTTTTATATGTTTACACATTTTTTAAAATTTTTGCTTTAAATTTGCTTTTTTACTTTTATACGTGTTTGTTAAAATTTAAATTTAATTTGTTTAAATTTAAATTTCATTCCTTGCAGCAATGGCGCAAAGAATTATTTAATTAAATTTGTTTTTAAATTTAAATTAAATTTATATAATTAAATTCAATTTCTTCTTATGAACATCTTATATAGCTGGTTTTGTTGTTAAAAGCTTAGCTTATAAAGTAAAATATAATATCTGTTTTCTCAGCTTTAGTTTCAACAGAACCATATGCTGGTTTGCTAGGTTTCAAATATTATAATCTGGATGTAAAGCTTTGAGTTCTCCTTCCAGTGAACGTCCCCAATGATCTGCAAAAATGCAGAAATAATTTTAGGCAGACTGAAAAGGAGTTTAATTGAATGAAAGAAAATATTAATAAATTTCATGACTCTAAAAGTCTTTAAAAGCATAGGAACACATATATTTCCTTCTTCAAGACCATATTTATGATGATGAGCCAGATAAAAACCACCTGATTAAATTAATTAAAGCAGTGATATTTCAATATTTAAAAATCAGAATGCATCATGCAGTTGCATGTTACAATGAATTTAAACAGAGAGAAAATATTCGAAGCAGATTTAATAAATTAATTTTATTTAAGCATCAATAAACCATATATTATCTGTTTCTCTTTCTCTCTCTAAATATATATATATAGGTGCGTGTATTTACATTAATAGATAAATAGATATAATCTTGTTTTCACAAATATTTGAAATAAAAAGTGAAGTAAGCAAATTTTTCAATGCAACAAATATCCTAAATTGTTTACTTTTATACATATGTATTTATGGATGTATAGTCATTCTGCTTAAAGTATTTACAGGTAAATAAAATTACAAGGTTACTTTAGGCGCATTAATAAAAATTTAAGATTGGACATATAATATCTTGTATTTTATAGTAATTATTTTTTAATTAATTTCTAGTTCCGCATAAGATTTTTTTATTTACTGTGAATTGTTTTTAAATTTTTCATTACACTCAGAAAAGTTTATGCTCCGAATTTTATGAGTTATTAATATTGTCATAAATGATCATCTTTTAATACAATAATAATTTTGAAAACAGAAAAATAAATAAAACAGTCCTTGGTTTCTATAAACATTTGAAATGATAAATATTTGCTACTACTACCTGAAAATGTTCATAAAATTAAAAAAAAATTACCAAATCTTGTTTAATTTTACCTTATTTGTTTCATAGCATCATGTACAATCTTACTTAATTTTACTTTATTTGTAGGCAAAAGTAAATTCATAAATTTTTTGTTTAGAGTTTTTAACGTTTTATCAAAGTAATGATGTTTAGACAAGAATTACGCTTATGCTCAAAATGCAGTAAAAAAAATACTCAAAATGCACTAAAAAGTGGTTTCATGAGATATATAAAATCTTATTAGCAAAAACTGTGATTTTTATTATCTCATCATTTATACAATGTATCACATTTAATAATTAAAAAGAGTTATGTGATACAAACGCCATATGTTTCAATGTTACGATAAACTAAATCGTCTCTACTTCTCGACATGTGTGTGACGCACGCCCCGCCCACTGGGTTAGTCTATTTCTTATAAGGTCCATGACATTAGCTCCGGCCCTTTCTTCAAGATGGTCTTAATTATTACGCCGCAGATTGACGTTAAGTGCATAACAGGTAAAACTTTATGATTGGAACTCGATCTGTTTGACGGTAAAATGACTCAAACATTACAGACACACGACATTTTAAAATTGTTGCTGCAAATATTGTGGGCATTCACACTGTTGTGGCTGTTTCTGACGATCCTTGAAATACTGTTTTGTATATGTTATTTTGTTTACATGGTTGATCTTACTTGAGACATTCGTAGTGAAAATTATCGAGAAGTTGAGAAACTTCCAGATGATTATTTATTAATGCACTTTTTAATTTATTTTTTGCGCTTTTAGCTAATCAGAGTATCATACAACGTGTAGTTCCACAAAGCGGCCACATATTTAAGACCGTATAATACTGATAGTTCTGCCTGGTTTGAGATCTATCCCAGATGAACTCGCTGGCTGCATGATTATTTTTTGTGGTTTTACCCATAAAATGGGGATGTGTAACGTGAATATGAGCTTATTTTTCTCAGGGTGTCCTCCACGAAAGTATCCCTCCTCTTAGGCAGATAACCCTCGTGGCTTTGCCAAATTCAAATAAGTTAATCCTAAATCCTGCAACGTGTAATCTATCATTCTTAATACGTAATCAATAAGTGTCATAAAGTTTCGATGAGCGTTGTAACCATTCCATGTTGGTTTAAACAGATATAAAGTCGGAAACTTTTTCGACGATGAAATAAAATGAAGAGTTAGCTTTTCTTGTTACAGCAATCAATTTGCCAAATAAGTTTAGTGATTTTAACGACTAGTTCGCCGAAATTCAACTATTTTGCGAAGCGATTATGATTCAATATTTTTTCAGAGAGGCAATGAGAAAATTATTTTTTTCCTGAAAGAGCCGAGTTCTACCGCTTGCTTAATGCCATTTATAGAAATATTTTTCTTTTATTTACTATTAATATTTAGTTTTTCAGTGTAAGCATACACTGAAAAAACTTTCAGTACATGCTTTAAAAAGAAGAAGTACGACAGGGTTAAAAATATTTATTTTAATTTTATTGAACAGTTACATTGATAGAATTTTAAATTAACAAATAATATTCCTTTTTGTCGTTACATTTTACATGCGGCATTTATAGAACTGTTGTTTCAAACAATCAGGCATCCAAGAGCATGTACTAGAATATTCCTTCATTTTAAGTATCCAAGTTGTAATCAGTCTGATTCCCGTCGTTATGACATGCTTTGAAATGATTTCATTCAGGGATAAAAAGGTGTTCCTGAAAGAGAGAAAATTTTTTCATTGTAATATACAGTAAAAGGATTTGCACTTTCTGGAACTCATTGCATGGGAAAACATGTATGTGTAACGGACATATATTGATTTCTCGAATTAAGTTATGACATAAATTCCTTTATACTGACATGTGAAACTTTTGATAATGATGCTCATCCATATATATATATATATATATATAATATTTTTTTTTTTTTTTTTTTTTTTTTATCTGCGTATTTTGTGGTTGGCAATGTGGAAACCATAAAGTTTGTTGAAAGCTTATGAATATAATTTTTGTATACAAATATGCAAGAGTACATATGGCTTTGGATATTAAGTTTTAAGCACATTGGCAGAATACTGAAACTTGTGAAGAATGATTTCTGTTTGCGAGTCATCGAATGGTGTCAATGTTTTGGATAGTTTTAAGAAAGACACTAAAGACGGATTAACAAATGGGCATCCTTTACAAGGAAGTTGCAAACAGTAACTATGCAAAGATCTTAGTTAAAGCGTTGATTGTTTTTTCTTCTTTTAAAACACAGAAAATATTTTTCATCTTGAATCTGAGGAGTAAATCAGTGAGTCTGGCGTTACACAAATGATTACAGATTTCTTAAAAGTCAGAATTTCGTGTTCTCCCACACATACAGTATTCCAACAATGTGTATTTCTATGTGACTACTAGTTATTTCTTATGCTATAACGTCGAATTAAGGATATCATGCTTTTTGGAGAGAAAGAGATGTAAACATTCATTGAACAGAAGCAGATTTCAAGGTATAAGCTCGAGATGTGCTTCAAGGACTAACAAGAAGAGGCAGGAATAAAATGTTGCGAAGGATTTTACGTTATAAGGTAATGGGCATAATAGATGTATTTAACGTTCCAGCCTTAGGACATCGAATTTAGTTCCTGAACGCATCAACTTACAGTATGTACTGTAAATTTTCAAAAGTATTTGTAATTACGTTTTGATTGATTGATTTGTATGCTTTTTCGCAGCACTGAGTTTTTTTATTTTTTTTTTTTATTTTTATTTATTTATTTATTTATTTATTTATTTTTTAAATTCTTTGCTTGTTGCATTTTGTTTGATGATTACTGGGTATTTCATTTAATTTTGAATTTGCGTGTTTCTAGGTGCTTATTTAATATATTACCTTCTAAGACTCACAATTTTCTGTCGATTGATGTTGGAATTGTAAAACTAGAGATAATAAACAGAAGCAAAAATACCTCTACTGGATCTTGGCTGACGGTTTTTGTTGCACAGCTGAATTTTCAACAACTCAGAACATTCTGAAAGCTTCCCTAAATCATAAGAGCGATTTCTTTCTAAGATGCTTGTTTTGGCAGTGTGCTTCTCGTTTGGTGATTGCTATTACTTCCTGCAAAAGCTTTGGTCAGCTGTGACATTCCTTACTTGTTACGAGGAATTTCGCCTTGTCTTGTTTAGAGTGTAAACAATATGACAGTATGTTTGAGAGGTAATGCTACTAATACAGTATGAAAGTAAAATAAAGCACGTCAAAAATATTCCGTCTTATATATCGAGTGTGCTTCAAGGGCTACAAGAAAAGGTAGGAATAAAATGTTGGAAAGAATCTTACGTTATAAGGTAGTAATGGGCATAATAGAGGGTATTCAGCGTTTCAGCCTTAGGACATCGAATTTAGTTCCTGAACGCATGAACTTTACAGTACTGTACTGTAAATTTTCGAAAGTATTTTCGAAACACACACACACACACACATGTATATATATACTATATATACACATACTATATATAGAAATTAGAAAAACAGGAAAAGTACAATTCATAAAAATTACGAAAGAACTAACAAGTTCAAAATTAGCATCCTAGTGCTGCTGAATTTTATAAATGAAATTTAAAAGTTTAAGATTAAAATACCTAGTAAAAGCCGTAAGAATATTTGGACTCTACCTATCCCTAAAAACACAAACAAACAAAATTATAAATTTATAAACAAAATTTTATTTATTTAAAATTTTTCTTTTTGGATGTAACTCGGAAATAGGGATAGGTAGGGACCAAATATTCTTACTGCTTTTACTAGGCATTTTAATCTTAAACTTTTAAAATTCATTTACTTATATATATATAATAGGGCAAGGTTGATTCAACCTTTTTTCAACCCTTGATTGATTCAACCCTTGAATGGACCCATTCAAAATGAGTACCAAGCTCGCTTGGGGACTAAACACCGGAGGTCCTGCGACAAACTGACCATTTGTCCAGAGCATACGCTGATGCCCTGGACGCTCAAGTTCCGGAGATCAAAGTCAAGAAAGCAGATTTCGTGGCACTGCAGGCCGTGGCACACTAGGGCTGTTGCGTCACTGAGTTTAGTTTATATACATATATAGCCAAAAAGAAAGAAATTTAGAACCAAATACACAAAGACATGAAAGAAATTAAATGCAATACAATAAAACCCAAAATTCCCCATACATAAGTAAAAATGAACCAATAGTAATCAAATATCACCAATAGTCAAACAAAATTCAGCAGCACTTGCGCAGAAATGGTATTCGGATAATCTATTTTAAAATATGAATTTATGATATTGTTATATTTATATATTTACATACACTGGATTCTTGAATACGTGGCATTTACCTAAGACCGATCTACCATTACTGAGAACAAATTCCTTTTCTCTGATGAAAACATGATTTAATTAAACATAGGTCAACATATATTAAAAGTGAAGCTTTTGAGATACTTTTTACTTCCTTATACGAAGTAAAAAGGAAATATTGTAATCGCGAAATGTTTCAGGCAGCATATTTCAACGAAATTATGCATTTTGGTCGCTATGGAATGCAATTTAACGATGTTTTTGTGTGACATAAATTTTTTGTGTGAAATTTTGTACGTAAAGACAGAATCAAAGACTCTTCTCCTCCCAAAAAATATAAAACTGCTTTAAAATGAATTCTGAAGAGACAGAAAAAGAGTAGACTCAGAAGGTTGAAATTTTGTATATAGGACTGCTATAACATGTAGATGCGCACCTCGTATTCTGGTTGCAATCGGCATCACCAAACGTATATAAATGTATTTATGTACATACTCAGTGATCGCAGTTTCTTTACTCTTATATGTTCGTAAGTTGTGCATATTTGCTTTAAAAATGATTGAATTATGTTGCTCATTTCTTACGGTTAAGGTTTTTATGCCTTTAGTAAATCTGCAAGTAATATTTGTTCAATTATCAACAATTTAAAAGAAGTGCGGTTAATCATAATTTTTAAATAACATGGCGGACATATTTGTTTACATTTGAAACAACAGAATAGTAGATCTGTTCCCAATCCAGAGACTAAGCTTCGCAACAACTAATTTATTATTGCGAATTAAATTTTGCTTAATCCTTTCTGGAATTTTTTCGAGGAAATAAGTTTTTAGGATTTACTTCGTAATTTTTAATATAGTTATTTTGAGTTTTTATGTATTTTTGCTTTGTCGCGAAGGGAGAATTGAATTGATTGAATGAGAAATAGAAAAACGTCTATGAAAAACTGTTTCTTTTTTATTTTGTTTGCTTAATTTCTTTTACACATCTTTCTAGATTTATTATAGCATTTGAATAAAACATGTGGCGACGATTAGATAATTCTTCAAATGATATAAATTTTGTGCATTCTGAGTTATAATATGAACGAAATATAACGCTTTTAAGTGAACCTAGAGCCAGAGTGTTGCTATGGTAAACAAATAGTGTGAATTTTAAAGAGTGCATTTTTTCTATTGTGGTTTATGCGCTATTGACGAAGTAGATTTAATTTAATCCAATAAGTTTAAATGAAATCCATGAAAAAATGCGTACAATTTAATATTCCGTACAAGAAAGTCATGTGGTGCACACATCAGATTTCTTTTAAATAGAATCATTTCGCATGTGTGAGTTTGCTTTGAAAGTGTTATGCATGCTGAGTTTAAAAAAAATCTGCTTGAAAATATTTCCTAAATCTCTAGTGTAAAAGGAATGTGTTAATTCGAGAAAAATTTTTAAAGGATATTACACTTTTAATCATGAAAAATAGAAATGGAAACTTTTAAATTGAAAATTAATCAATAAAGTAAGTAATTATTGTCATTGATCGGAAAATGTTTGACTTTTCAAGGGGAATAAACCAATATCTGTTCAATTAACAATAATTAATAAATGCGAAGATGTTTCGTCTTTTACTCAAGTAAGAACTAGGATGCCAAACTGGTAGGTTGAGTTTAAGCCAAACTTGAGTGGAATCTAATTAGTGAGATAAAAGTGATAGGAATTAAAGTGAAAGACTATAGAATTCATTATGAATGTAGCAATTCCGTTATGTTCATGAATTTGTATATATCTTGAGATATTATTGCCAAATTGAGTAGTAGTTAAAAAATTTTCTTTGCTAATTTAATTATTAGTAAAAAATGTTTCCTTTTTTTATTTGAGTAAAGTGTTCCCCGACACCCTCGCTTTCCTGCATGTTAATTAAGTTAAAGTCATCTTTATAAACATAATAAACAGAATGAAATCTTTGCAAAAATTTATGATATATAATTCAAAGTAATCATTATAAACATAATAAAACGTAATAATGCAATCTTTGCAAAATTGACGAAATTTACGATCGCATCGTTACTGGTGACGAAACATGGGTGAAACATGTGAACTGTGAAACGAAATTGCAATCAATGCAGTGGGAGCACACAAGGTTCTCCCCAAAAACCCAAGAAATGCATGCAAACAATGTCGGCAAGGAAGATGATGGCGACTGTTTTTTGGGACAGAAAAGGTGTAATTTTGGTGGACTTCCTGGAAAGAGGCACTACAATAAACTCTCAAAGGTATTGCCAAACTCTCCAAAAACTCAGAAGAGCAATTCAAAACAAGCGCAGAGGAATGTTGAGCTCTAAGATCTTGTTGATTCACGACAACGCCCGGCCCCACACGGCAAATGTCACTCGTAAAGTTCTTGAATCTT